AAAAAAAAAAAAAAAAAAAAAAAAGAAAAGAAAAGAAAAGAAAAGAGAGAATTCTGTGCAATTCTAAAATTGGATTGTCGAGTTGCAACAAAGAGGCAGATTTCTGATTTTTCTTTAGTTATAAATTCAAAAACTTAAATAGTTATGCCAATTCAGCAATTCCTTTCAAATTAAACTACTTCAACTTCTTGTTAAACTCAAGCATAAGTTCAGCTAGATGGGTCCATAATGATGACCTAGTTTTAGACACAAAACAACTATTAAAACTCATCTATGTTAAACACATTCGAAATGAAAGAGGTGAAGTAATAAATTTACAGTATCAACATAGCTGCTTCTATTCCTGTAGTGTGGGGACTTGAACCAGTTTTCAAGAACACCAAATTGTCCCTAGCTGTAATAACAAACTCATAAAAAAAAATGTTACAATAAGAAAACACAAATTGGGAAAAAAAATAAACAGAAAATAAAACAAAGGAATAAAGAATTCAAAATCTTCCCAACCAGTTTTCTCTCTCCTCTTCCTTCCATATATGGAAGAATCATACTTTCTCAAGACAACTAATTTAAAAACTATTCTTTTATCTCTCCCATTAGATTATTACCTACTCCATTTATCTCAAAATAATTGGTAGTTATTTAATTTTGAGTTTGTCTTAAATTGATTGTCATATTTTTATTTTTTAGGGTAGACAAATATTTTTTTCTTATCTATTTATTTTGATTAATTATCCTATCACAAAAAAATCTTACTTTATTTTTTAACTTTTTCCCAAGGTAATATGGAGAATTGTCCTCAAATCCTTAATGAAAAAAAGAGTAAAAAAATGACAATTATTTGGGGGAAAGAAGGAATAGTTATTATTGTAATACCCTCCAACACACATTTAATAATCTCTCCCTTTCTCTTCTTTTTCTCTCTTCACAAATTCAAAGCATCACGAATATGAAAACTAGCAAATGAACAACCAGACTTCCCTCTTCATGAACTTAGAACCAATATGACATCAAAAGTGTAAACCAAACCAAGTAGCAAAGAAAATCATTATTCTAAATTAGTTGAGTAAAGGCACAGATAAGAATTTCAAGTTTGTATTTTTTTTTTTATTTAAGGATGTTAATTTTGTCAGTTTCTAAATAAGGATGTTAACTTTTAATTTTTTTTTAAATAAGGATGTCAGCTTTCAATTTTTTTCTAAATAAGGATGTTAACTTTATCAGTTTCTAAATAAAAATGTCAACTTTCAACATTTTCTATTTAAAGATGTCAACTTTCAACTTTTTCTATTTAAGGATTAATTGAATAGTGATGTTGACGTGGCTAACATATTTTTTTAGGTTAAATATCTGAATTGGTCTCTCAACTTTTATTTTTGAACAAATTCATCCTTAAACTTTAGAAAGTACCAAAAACATCCTTCAACTTCAGTTTTCAATTTCGTCTTTCCGTCAGTTAAATGTTGATGTAGCTAATTTTTTCGCTAAGTGATTGACTATTTTACATTTTCAATATTAGGTGGAAAATCATGATTATGTGGATTTTTTTTAATTTTAAATAATTTACAAACTATTTTAATTCTTAAATTTACTTTATTCATATTTAAAAATTAAAAAAATTAATATATTTTCCCATTTAATCAGTCCCACCTACCATTTAATAAAATTAAATAAAATTTAATTAATTGTTCCATGAATTAGGAAATAATTTTATTAATTGAAAATTGAAGTTGAAGGATGTTTTTGGTACTTTCTGAAGTTTAAGGATGAATTGGTTCAAAAATAAAAGTTGAGGGACTAATTCATGTATTTAACCTAAAAAATATGTTAGCCACATCAGCATCAGTATTCAATTAATTCTTAAATAGAAAAAGTTGAAAGTTAACATTTTTAAATAGAAAAAGTTGAAAGTTGACATCCTTATTTAGAAATTGACAAAGTTAACATTCTTATTTAGAAAAAATTAAAAATTGACATTCTTATTTAAAAACTGATAAAATTAACATCTTTAAATAA